ATTGGTCCTACAGCCGTTTAAAACCTAACTTGACATGCTGAATAGAGGCTACTTTTCTTTTTATGGCCGGCTGCTCTGAGTTCCCACTTAGAACCTCAGGAAGTAATGTTTGGGCTTTGATGTGCTTTAGTGCACTGGCTTCGATGGAGCGCTCTCTTTGTTACGGAAGAAATAACAGCAATCAAATAATAGTTGTATGTTCTTTCTAAAGGACTGAAGTTATTGAGTTAAATCATAGACGGAGAACAAGGTGTCTACAAAACAAAACGGAGACCATGCAAGTTACTGTCGCTAGCTTTTACAGGACAGAGGTATTTTTTATATAGACTTTCTACAATTTTTGCATTTATAATGAGACATGAGCCTCATCAATACTTGTAGCTCTGAGAAACCTTTCAATTATATCACCAGTCCCTCTATGGGAAGTAACATTTATTGTGTCCCCCTCAGAAACATGACAGAATATCCTTTTATAATGGGAAGCTCGCAGGATATTCACATATGTCCATTTAGTCTATTGGTAAACAAGACAAAGGTTTAACGTTTCCACCGTGCTGGCCGTATTGTTAGGCTGTACTTAATAGCGATGGTGCTTGGAGCGACGTGCTAATGTGAAATGTTTATGATGTTCACCTTCTTAGTTTGGTGTCTCAGCTTGATAACATTTGTGATATTGAGATAAATGCCAGGTAATGACAAATGTTTTCCAGGTAGTTGGTCCCGATCCACAGTATTGGGCATTTAAATGCTTAAAACTCCCTCTAAATGGAATCTAATAGAATATCTGTACCAAATTTCACATCAGACGCCGCATGTCAAACTAATGGTGGCACTAGAAGAAATCCATCCGATTGGTATTCAGGTAGATATTTGACTGGTTCTACCGGGTACCATTGATATCAGTTCTACATCCCATGACCAAAGTAGTAGATCAATAGACCGACCACCAGACAGTCAGTGGCATCGTCAGATGCCGCTATCATGGTTAAAAATGTGTGACTGCACTGTGAACACTGCGTTTTGGAAAAAGAGATCAATTCTGGTGTTTGCAGATTGCCTGGGGTTCTCTACATGCAGGTGCCATTCATTATGTGTTCAAGCATGTTAGACACACTGTGAAGATGGAGAAAATCTCAATGTTTTTAGACAGAAGAGGAAAGAATTTAATTCCCCTTTACATGCAACATTGCTTCACGCAAGTGTGCTGGCATGAAGACCAGTGAAGAGGAGGCGAGAAGGGGGAAGCTGCTCAATGTATAGCGATGTCGTTGCCACGTGAAACTGTTTGGCTCAGAAATGTGTGTTCTTGCCACAATATTGCAGCGCAGTGTGAGTCATTGCACCCAACTAATTACATCACCGGCATTTTGGCTTTAACCAGCCTCTTAATGTCCTGTGAAACAGGGTTAAAAAAGGGTATCCATTCTCATGCCTTCTAGGTGCAATGGATTCACTTCCCGCGTGAAACACCTGTTCAAAAACATTGTCTCTTAGTCCATTAAAAACGAAGAATGTTTCGAGTTCATTCAGGAATGTGGTTGGTGGCACAATGTGATGCCGCCGGGTACTTTATCGCTGTGACATTTCCTTTACTAAACCAACGTCTCCTGAATCCCACATCCGACAATCGGCCCACCAGCATTCACTGTTTGAGGGCTCAGAAGCCTTGCGACATCCTCAAAACTCCAAAAAAGATACCAGAGAGGCAATTCATCACCTTTGGTGTTGAAGTTGCGCCCCCACTGCGTTTCCACAGCATTGTTTTTCTGTAGCTGAACTTTTATAATTAGCGGTGTAGCCTAAATGTAGTGTTTTTACATGAATCACTGCGACTGCAAGGGACATGGATCACGCTACCTAGTGCCCGCCTGAAGGTGTAAAAGTGTACCTTCTCAAAATAGTTTAACTTTAGCGCTCTGGATTCTACATTTTAATAAGCCATTAAGGCATCTTTCTTCAACAGGCTAAGTCTATAAACGGCTACTGGCTGTTTGTTTAATACATTAATAAACAAAGAAAAGAATAAATATTGAGTCAGGCGAATTGCGTTAGTGGGGCTGTCGGTACGCCGCAACCTATTTCAGTTTGTTTTCCCCATAACTACGTAGCTCTGTGAGAGTGGAGCTCATGAATTCTCCTAACCATCTTTCCTTGACCCTGTGAAGTTTTCCACAGAGGTCAAGGAATAGTGGTTAGTGTTTAGTGGTTAGGAGGTACGTTTCTTCACTCGGCCTGCTTGTTCGTCTCATTGATCGGCTCTGTGTTGAAGGGCCGGTTCATCCGACACAGAAAGGTGTCATGACACAAACACGCTTTCCTTTGCACTCAGGAGAGAAGTGCTCTTCTCAGTCAGCCATTAGACTGGAAATTGTTTTCAGCTTTGCTTTTTGTCATTTGTTGACGTCAACACAATTCCCCCTTTCGATAGTTTATTTAATGTTGAGCAACAACGTGAGATTAATGTAACATATTTGTATGATGTTTAAGGAAAGTGACCGCAGGTTTTAAGCAGCGATGAGACAGGGTGTTTCCCCAACCAGGCTTTAGCCTGTGATGATATCCCTGTTGCTCTTCATCCCTCTAGAGTCTACGACTTGTGTGCATTCAACACTGCAGCATTTCTGCACAGGGGTTGGGAGGATGTGAAGAACGTATAGCACATGCACATTAAATGTCCCACAGGCTTTTGGAGATTGAATGAAGTCTTCTGCTTAGGTCCATTAGCACAACTGGAGGGAGAATGTCAGCAGGATGCCATGAATGCAACTGCTTTATTCAGACAAAAAGGAAAGTGAGCCTTTTTTGGCTCCATCCGTCTCTTTTTCCTGCACGGGTAAAGCCACTTCAAATGGGGACGGGCGATTTACAAATCAACTCTCTTCTCAACGAGTATGAGTGTTAGTCTGGCAGAAGTGAACAAGTAAATGTAAATGGCGCACTCTCACTTTTCAATGTCCTGCTCTTTTTTGGGGGGGGCGAACTGCAGGTTTAGATTTGAGCTACATTAATCTTTTTTTTTTATTTTTTTATCTCAGACGCAGCGAGCCAAACCCTAAAATTGATTCTCATGGTTTATTTCTTTGAAACATGTATGCCACGAGCGTTCAGCGAGTGCTACAAAGACTTCACACGGCCCCTGTTTGTCTGGGTTAACGGCTCGTGGAGGAGGGAGCGGATTTGAGAGCGCGATGGAAGAAAAAACAGCAGGTAAAGGCTGAAGGGGAGGCCTTGCTTTAACAAGCTTATCTCGCCCCCTAATTCAGTTTGGGCCTTCAAAGTGCTGAGAGCCGCCGTCGCTAGGGGCGGTTGTATTTTTTGACCGCTACCTGTGACAGCAATTAAAGGTTCCCCTTCAAGCCTGCCTTTGTTTTCGGTGGCAGACTTGACTGCAGGAGTAGAACGAGATTACCTCAACATTCTGCAACTGGAGCATAATCAAAGCCTCACGATGCGAGGTGTCACGCCCGTCTAAATTGACCGGGCAGCCTCTTGCCGCTGTGTTTTTTTCTGCCCCGCTATATCTTAATAGGTTGCTGTGACATTTTTTGTATTGTAACAGGGCTGTTTAAAAAGGTGCTTATACACATTACAGTGAAATATTTCAATTCCAAAGCAGAAGTGAGCATTGCTTTTCAAAAGAACAAAAACACAGATGTAGAGACTGCTACGATTTGAAGGAGGAACTTCATGAATAGTATATTCGCAACAAATGAAGCGTGCATATGTGCTCTGCAGCATCTGCATAATTACATACCTATAACCACAGCGGACTAAAATTATGTCTGCACGCAAACTTCAATGCCTGCTGTCCTACTTTCATTAGCTTAACATCCCACAAATGGAGAACGGGGAGTTCATCCACTCGGATGCCTTTTTAAAAAAGCCAAGAGTTTGCCTTCGACTTGCTACGGCATTTTTCTACATGTGTGACAGGACCCAGGTCTATGCCTAATTATGTACAGAGCAGGGGGGCTGCACCAAAGAACACCCATCTAATACCCGGGGGTAGTTCTCAATCTTACAGTTGCTGGGAGAAAAGAGAGGCTGTAATATGCTGCAGGCACTAACGACGCAGTGTGGTGCGGTGTGGTGCAGCTTGCAATGATATGCACGGTGGTGTTGTGCAATCGGTCTTTATTTGGTGAGAGGCATGTGCCTCTCAAAACTGTACACGTATGTTTGTCTCTCTGGCTTCTACAATTGTATCTTAACATATGGTTATGTGTTTATATGTGTATATGTGTGACTGCAAAATGCCACTGTTTTTCATCCTTTTTTGATTGTGATTGGGTGCTTGGATTCGGCTGCTACCTGAGACATTTGTAGAGGGACATTTAGGCTATTGAAAATGCAGTGCCATCAATTATTCACATATTTCTTCATTGGTATCAAACAGCATGCCCTTTATGGTTATTTCACACACTTAATGTGTCGTTTGTTTTTCCTTTTAGTGTTTTGTTATACAAAAACAACATGTATTTCTGCACCGTTTCTTTTATGTGGAATTGAAGATGTAACACCTGCTGGTTAATGTTTGTGAAAGTCCGACGGGGGTGACATTTAATAATACTTTTTATGTTCCATCACAACGTGAGCTTTTCTGCACTTCTGCACACCTCGCTCTTACATTTCGATTGTTTAAATATAATATACACTCGACATAATTAACATGGTGGAAAAATGTAAAAGCTTGACCTGTGTTTGACATTATTAAAGTATATTTTGCCTACTAAAGTATAGTTGGCCAGGTAAACGTGATGGAGTTATAATACTATATATTCTTTTCTCGTTCTTTTTGGATTCAGCTTGTGTATGTTTTGAATCTCCGCTCAACAGCGTTAAAATACTTTACCAAATAATAAAGCCTAATTGAAAGCTAGAGTTTCAATTGGTGTGTAAAAAGAGATACTAACTAGATTTTTCATCTCTAAAACTTACTATGTCACTTTTTTCTTGAGGAACTTACCATTCTTTCTTTCTTTGTTTCTTTCCTCTCTCAGGTGGACTTGCTTGTGCCTGCCAAGGTCACGGGTATAATTACCCAGGGAGCTAAAGATTTTGGCCACGTTCAGTTTGTTGGCTCATACAAACTGGCATACAGTAATGATGGGGAGCGGTGGAAAATATATCAAGATGAGAAACAGGGGAAGGACAAGGTAAGAAGCTTTCACGGCCCATGATGACGGAAAACACATGCACATTGCATGCTATTGGGTCACTTTTACCAACATTAGCTGACAAAACCGAGATGAAACACACGTTATTTGTCCTTTGCACTTTATAAACATAAAAACAAACAAACTATAGAATCAGAAATGCCTGCCCATGAGAACTAGGAGTGCTGACACTTTTGAATTAGATATCACATCATGGGGAAAAGAGACATTTTGGGTAGAACGAGAGAACAGAAATGATAAATAAGGAAATACAGAAACCTAAAGCAACACAGAGCTGCAAATCTCAAAAGGCATTCTATTATTTGTGTGACAATGTCCTTTCCAAAACCTCTGCTTTGGTTCTTCTTCTCCAACATCCCTTTAGCATTTTCTAATTTGTGGCTCAAACTGAGGCTGCCTGGTCTCTCCTCCGGTTTGGGATCAGATAAGACTGTGCTGTCACCAGGCCTGGCCAGTACTATCCTGAAATTCTTGTTTACGGCCCTTCAACAAAGTACATGTCCATTCCAATCGCCCACAACAACAGAGACCGAGCACGACTGCAGCAGCCTCTCTGCTGATATCAGGAGTGCTGCAGGCTCGCTGTTACAGCTGAAGCTACAGCCAAGTGTCTTTCACATGCTGGTGGCGAGAGAGGTGCTGTTTACTGTCCTCTGTTGTCATTATGTCAGTATTGTTGTCAAGCAATACTAATAACTTATTCTGCTTATGCATGTACTGCTAAAGTGTTGACTATGGTAAAACAAGACATAGAATGGAATTCGTACATTCATTTTGTACCAAGCAAATACTGCAGAGGTGATTTAAAGTGTTATGTATTATACAAGATCCTGATGCAACAGTATAAACTACTGTATCATTTGTTTAATTTTGAAAAGAATTACTAAATTTTTGAATTCAGTCATTTTCATTAGTAAATATAAAAACTGAAAATCGATAAGATAATTTTCTAAAACTATGAATCTATACATTTTGATCCACTTAATTGAAAGAGTTGAAGTTGTAAAATCTATTTTTGTGAACATTTGGACCGGACTAACCAAACCTGAGTGCTGAGTCCCTTTTCTTTCTATTTGATTAATAATTAATGATGGATTGATAAATCTTATATCCATATAGGTCAATTTGTGCAGCTTCTTATTTGGTCTGGGCCAGCAAGGCAGACCTAGAATGTAATATGACGGCACTTTGTTTAGGCAAATGACACCTCTTGATGGCCAGCTGTCAATGCATGTCCGCATACTTGTTGTGGAATCAGTGCAGGCAATGTCCGGAAATATATTTCCATCCCCGCAGCTCACATTCCTTGCTTGAGGGGTTTATAATTTCAACACCCACAATTATCTTTTGACACGGGCCACTGCATGCTCAGCATGGTTTTCACTCGAGCAATCTCGATACTGAGCACTGGATGTCTTCAGAAGGCCTGGAGAGCATCAGCGGAGATAGCAAAAGGGAAGGAGAGAAAAGTCCTGGCGGCTTCTCAAGAACCTGGTCTGTTTATTATGAATACATTTTTGTTTTCAGAGATAACTCATATGGATTTTGAAATCTCATTAGATTAGATACAAGCAATATTTACAGCCGTCCCCTGTGCTGTTTTTTGCCGTATGACTTGGAGGTAAACCAGGGATAGGCAGTCAATCGGAGTGTGTTTGCTCGGTATTAGAGGGCAGCCGTGTTAAGCAAGGCTTCTGAGAATGTCAATCAGTCGGTCCCTCGACGGAGCCCGGGGGCCGCTCGGATGTAGGATTCTTCAAGGTGTTTTCCCCCCTTCAGTCAGCTGAAGCAGCCGTTAATGCTAGAGGACACGTTTGGCCGCTGGACCCCCGAGGCTCCTCCTGCCACCGCACAATGCTCAACTTGGCAGGGACACGGCAAAAACGTGAGCGTGTTTGTGTGTGTGTGTGCGTCTGCACAGAGGAAGAGGCTTCTAAGTATTCTTCTCAGCTCCCCCCTCCAGCTCCTGTGTGGCAGAGGCTGCAGGCAGTTAGATTTGGATTGAGAGAGGAGGCCCTGTCAGAATACAGATGTTGTCACACTGTGCAGCGCACATACGCACAACATTGTCCCTCTAAAATAAAAATCCATGGAGTGCCTTGTTTGCCTTTTCCGCACACATAAATCTCAAATCCCGTGTGAAAATAGTCGAGAAAGAGAACTTGTGAAAGAGACAAGAGTTGCAATCCATTGTTTCAACATAATTAAACCCTGATATATTCCATAGTTTTACATACTGGCTTGGCTGCATTCCCAATTGCACACGCCGAGGTCACTACACCGACTAGTCCTGCAACACGGTTCTTTCCTGGATGTCAATATTTACACAGTCAGTTCACGGGGGCAGTCAAGTGCTAAAGCACTTGATTAATTTTTGATAGTGGTGACACAGGCGTGATTAACCATTAGAGCTCTCAGCTACCTCCAAATCAGAGGTTAAGGAATGTGAGATAGCTGAGAATTCAATCAGTTTAAGATATGCAATCTTTTAATCGCAACCATTGGAATTCGAATGAATCTCATTACCATGGACGTAGCATTTACATTTCCAAAAGTTTGGTATTAGCTTCTGTTTTTGAACTTTGAGCATTGTGTTTGGCCATTTACACAGAAATAAAAGTTGCATTTACAGGTTTTTGATCTTGTTTCTCTACGTATGTAGCATACTTATATTTGCAACCCTTGCAAATGTGGTAGCAAAGCACTGTTTGAGATGCTTTTGGAAATGTCAGTTGATGGGTCAAGCTGCTTGCACAGAGCTCGGCTCTAGCTGTGTTGAATTGTCTATGTTCAGTGTAGTCAGTTAAATGGCAGGCAGTGTTGTGTGCTCACTTTCTTTATGTCCATGAGTTAGCATACACACTTTGTGTTTACCAAGCACATATTAATCAGCCTGCTTGTCCTTTCATTAGTTTTTTCTTCCAAAAAGCATTTGTCTTGTTGTGATTCTTAACACATCCCGTTCCAGACGGTGTATTTTAGAGACACTGCCTTTGTCACTGTGCAGGTCCCCAGACAGTCTAGGAGACATTCTTGTCGTATTTCAATCAGCTGCTGCACTCATAGTCTTCCTGTCCTGCCTCTTTTTGTGTTGTCATGTGCCCAGGATGTCACATTACATTTGAGTCAACACTCTTGAAAATAACACGTTTCTCACTTTGGTGACAAATGTTCCACTTCTGAAATACAATAAAAAGAACAACAGAAAACGGCAGTATCACAGACAGACAGGCAGCTTTATTAAAACGTCCATGTGTCTTTCAGCATGTGTTTCAGACAAATTCATATCTATAAATATTGTAAATCAATCTGGGGCCTTTTTTAACAAATTTGCAGCAAGTTGGATGCAATTTGAAACATGAGATAATTTCCTCAAATCACTTTTGAATGTGAACCATGCACTTAAATACCTTTTGGACGTCACTCATTTATCTGCAACTACAGTGTGTTTGGCCTGATGTTGCTTTGCTGTCCATAGAAAAGAGCCTGTGAGCCCCGTAGGTTTAGTTCATGAGAGCCGGTTTGGACACACTTTCTCATTGAAATTAATACAAATATGTGTCCAAACTTTTGACTGGTACTGTATTTATCTTCACTGATTTGGGAAAATGTGTGAAAAGTGTTTAATTGAAAACAGAGAATTTGGGTAAGAAGTTCTAAATATAAACTTATCTAAAAATACCATCTAAAGATCTGAAAGTGTACTTTAACACCTTGTTGGTATTTTTTTTTGGTATCTCCCTAAGTTATTATTAGACATTCAACTTTTCAAAATAGATATTCTCACTGTAAAAATATGGTTATGCTCAGGTACTCTTCACCACCATTAAATCACATTTTTGTAATTATGGAATTTCAAGCTTTATAATGTTGATTTTATTCGACAGCAATAGAGAAAGAGGGAGAAATGACATGGAATGCCGTTTGCTTGTCAGCAAATGCAAACCTTGTCTGAATAGAACCTAAACCCCACACAACACAGATAAACAACATGAGAGAGAGAGTGGGTCTCACTGCCGGAGGATGAGAAAGAATTTAGGATGAAAAGGTGGCGTGCAATGGTTTGTGTTAGACATGGCCGGGTATCATATGTCCAGCTGCTAGTGGTTAATAGATGTCTAAATGGTTCAAAAATGTCAGTGTCAGTGTATACAAGATGTTTCAAGCTGCAGCTTCTACAGAATCTGAGCAATACTGTATCCTCATTTTCTCATGAATTCATCTTCCTAATTTTGATTTGGCCTTTGCAAGTGATTATTCGGGTATATAAACCAGCGCTTCAACCACAATCTTTTCTTTAGTTTAAAACCCCCCCCGCTTTTCTCACCCCTTTAGCAACGCTATTAATAGTAAACGCTATTACTCTATATTCTACAAACTCAAAACACATTCTCCAAAACACTTCAGTTTTTTTAGAACTTGTAATAAAACGTTATTTTGATTGCTAAAATACAAACCGTATCGTCTATGATTTTTTGAGAGATAATTAGTTGAAGGTTTACTCTGAAAAGGTCATCTTCTGTGTCCAAAACCTGCTTGGATTTGGCCCACTGATTTTCCTTTCCACTCAACAATGAGGCCCATTACATCCAAATTACGCAGACATAATCATGTCTGGTTAATTGAAATGATCATATCCTTCAATGAAGCAGTCCCTGTAGGTGTATTTCTTTCTGATAAACTTAATTTCACTGTCTATTAAACAAACACCAACACAAAGCTTCTAACAATAAAGGATTGGGCAAACGTCCCAGTAAGACAATTAGCTCATGTGCATCATTTATCTAGTTAACACTTGAACTGTTCTCTTAAGGCCTATCTAAAGGCGTTTAAATGTCATTGACTTGGTATGAAAGTGGAGCAAACAGTGACCCGTGTCCCCTAACGACTTCAATGTCGATCCAGAATTAGATACCACTGGGTTTTTAATCCCTTCATTGAAGGACATGCAGGCCACTACACAATCTGAGTGGCGTGTTGATGCAGAGCAGTTTGTCACGCAATCGTTTTGAGTTATGAATAGAAACACAACTTTCTCCTCATAGAAAAATGTACGGGAACCATCAAAGCCTTTGATTGAACGGCAGGTTGAATAAGAGACATGTATGATACAAGTGAACAAAAACGAGACCAATAACGTGCATGTTAATGACACAACTTATTAAGTATGAGAAACAACAGGTTTGGTGGGACTTTCGGTTCTATTGCTCCAACAGCCCAAAAATATTTCTACTGGGGGAAAGTGTTGATGTGCTCACATGTGTGGAGGGTTGAAGAAAGGAATTCAGAGAATGCAATGGTTCTGGCAGCGTTTGGATTGAAACTTTCATCGGCTTAACTTCGATCAGCACCTGCACTTGCATGAGACCTCATCAGTACCTGCTGCCTGTAAAAATACATGAGATTGTGGTTGCTGCGTCACTGAAGATATTTGCTTATAACATGTAGACTTCTAAAGCATTTGATCGCCATATTTCTAGTTTTAAAAGCCTTCAAATATTGCGCTACCATTGACATTAATGTTTTGACTTTAAGTTGTCCATAGTTTCTGCTTTGAAAATGAATAATTCATCCATAATAATGCTGTCATTAAAGGTATTCCAAGGGAACTTTGACAACGACACGCACCGAAAGAACGTGATAGATCCACCCGTCTATGCCCGACTCATCCGGATCCTTCCCTGGTCATGGTACGGCAGGATCACTCTGCGTGCAGAAGTACTCGGATGCACGGAGGAGGAGTGAAGTTCTCTCTTTCATCTTTATTGCCACCACCCCCATCCGCCCCCCCGGTCCCTTGGCAAACTGGTGTACCTCGCCCAGTATTTTGAAAATAAACTGTGCAACGTGTAAAAAGAAACCAATTTCCGATGGATTTTTAAAGAATATGTGTCTGTTTGTGGTAGGTTGCTGTTTATTATTTTTGTACAATGATTTAAAACCTGCCCTTTGTCTTTGCGTTTTCTCTATAAAGTGATTTTTCTGTCTTTTTATTCTTCCCAAGATTTATCATCCGGTTTAAAATGAACTTCTGTAATATATGTGGGTGGGGGTAGGGTGTGGGGGTAGGGTGGAGTCAGAGAGCGATTCTCCCTGTGGTGTTAACTTGTTGCCATGGAAGCTATTGTATGTACAGTGTCACCAAGATGTGAAATCTGTCTGCCGTGCTTCATTGGACATAATCAGCCAACGTCATAGCATTACTAAAGTGTCTAAAGTACCATGTAGAGATCACACCATATTGTCACTCTCTCAAATCGCTTTATGTATTCTTTACTTTACCACTTCCTTAAGCCATGCGTTTACCCTGATGTACACTGGCATTACTTCATCAATCAAAACACTATTAATGCTCTTGTATTATATGTAAAAGACTAAGAAATTGCATGGTACGTGAATTATAAATGTATATTATGACAAATCATTTAAAACCTCCAGCCCTGAGAGCAATGGCTTTTGATTTAGGGACCTATTTTTATGTGCATTTTTGAATAGTTCTGAAACATTACAACACACTGCAAAAGTTTACTGAAGACAACGGATATTTGAGACAGTATAGAGCACTGCGGTTAACCTGGCACTGCAAGGCTGTCTCTAGCTCTCATAAGGAGTTTCATCTTTTTTGTATTTGAATATCCCAACACTTTTTCTAAGGTATTTGGAATTATCGTATGTGCTTGTTCTTTTTTGTATTTATTTCAATTTATTTTTCTCAGCTGTCAGATGCTTAAAGTATGTGTTTAATGTCTTTGCGTTGTCTTAGAGGTCTAAGTTGATCTAAGTTCAATCACAAAGCTCAGGATAGATGTCATTGATAATAATAACCCACAAATATATCATTTTTGGCCACATATTAAAAAATGTCCTGTATTATTACTTATAAAAAATGAGAAATGAGTAAAGGCAACATCATGTGTTTGCATAATCCCAATATCTCTTTATTTTGAATGGTAATTCCTGTCTTTTAAAAAAAAAAAAAGCAAATGTCCAAGATTAATAATATATGAATACTATTCATAATCTCAAAATCTGCTATGATTATAGCAGCAAGGAACTTTACCGGAATATGGACAGTTATTCTCATCGCGTCCACATATTCTATTTATGCCGTTTTCACTGTATGGATTCTGCTGCAGGCTGTAAATGAACCCTGCTCCTTCACTAGTAAACTAATGGCGGTAAGCAAGTACCTAAGGTATTCCAACTATTTGAAACCTTGCAGTCCCATTTTACACAGTTTAAAAATAGACCTGGATTACTGCAGTGGTTCCCACTTTAAACTAGTATTCCCAAAACCCCTGAGTGCTCAAATAAAAGCTTAAGGGAGCTGATGTTGTATTTGATGCTCTATTTCTCACTTACAATTTACCCACTTTCAGTCACTTCACTATCCAATCAGCTGTACTATAGTGATATGATGAATTTTATCACAGATTACATTTTCTTTCAGGTTAGAATTTAAACACAACCTAAATAAATGTATTGCACCAACCCTTTCCAAATGATCCTGTCTGACTACACTGGAAATACTAAGGTGACGCTGTTATTTTAAAGAAATAATATACAATAAATGAAACTGCATTTCAATTCTTAATCTTTTGACTTTCTAAAAGCGCAGCAAGAAAATGTATCACAAACATATTTTGTTCCTTACTCTAAGTTGTGTTTCAGGGCAGACGGTCATCATGAACGTTGTTGAAGTTGACAAATAACCATGAAAACAAAACAAGCATATTTGGATTGTCACCTGGATATTTGAAAATGAGAACAGTCTATTGTATTCTGGGTTGGAAAATATCAAAAGGCTAACTTGGAAAAATGTAGTTGTGCTATGTTGCCAAACTCTGTACTTTAAGGAAAGACTTTGCTGTACATTACCAACATGTGAATACTGTTATTGGTGTGAATCATTGACTGTCACTATTTGCATAATAACGATATCTTGGCAAACATCTTTCATGATTGATCTTTGTAGTTGGCTTCCTCTCACCTTTCCTGCTGCAAAGCTTCGGTGACGCACGATGCGTTTGAACAGAAAAGCATAACAAACATGTCCACAGGCACATTACGTTCTTGCATATCATAAAGATCTAACAGGCTTTACTTTGAACCTTTGATTTTCTTGTGCATGTTAAAACTTCATGCAGTCTTTGTATTTCTGTGTCCGCAGCTCACGTAATATTTCTTTCGTCAGTCTGAGTGTCAATTCCTATCTAGAAAATGTACCTATCATAACGCTGGTTAGGTTCGAGCCTGCAGAGAGTGTGAAACTATGTACAGTCCAAAAAAAAGATATCGCTACGAACAAAAGCTCTTTCAGTTTGACAAATAAAAACATATCTGTGAAAATAGCGGCTTTGCTTTGTTTTCTTCAAAGGTCTGATCCTCTCTCTCCTTCTTTACGCCGCCTTGTTACTCATCTTGATGAAATGAAGTGCGTACACGTGTCAGATGTTCATGCAGCCCAGATGATCAATACTAACCGTTGTTTTTTCAAGTCTTTGTTTGTAAAACATTGAGGTTATTTTGATTTTGACAGCCTATTTCTGCCATTGCTAAAATAAATACAGTTGACACTTATTCTCTCCTTTTCATACATATGTGTCTTATTCCCATGTGCTGTAACTATGTGCACACTGTGGTTATAAGACGGGTTTACTTTTACCAAATGGTTTGTGATTTGAGGACAACTAATGCATGGTAAGCCTCAAGAGTTGCTGAATAAAGTTGTTCTCTACATCCCAATTTAATGATTCAATAATCGTAGCTGAAGGTGAGTCATTAATGACGTGATGTGTGTGATGTGTATGCTCATGATGTAGCATGAGCTAGCAGTCAGTTAGCTATCTTACAAAAGGTCAAGGTAAAGAATGATTTTCAAAAAGAGACTAAATCCACCTACGATCACCTTGAAAGAAGAAGTTAACATGTTAACAAGTGTCAGGATAATAATTCTCAATTTTAAGGGGTTTTAACTATTTTTTTGTTTGGTATAGTTCCTTACAGAATATCAGAATATCCACTGGTATATAAATATATAGATTATAGGTGTGTTTCCCAAGTAACAGCGATAAATCGGCGCAGCCAGGCACAACTACTAACTATTGTCAATGTGCAATGCAGAACAAATTAAAGACAGGACATAAAAAGAAAAGGCACATCATTAACACAAAAGACATTTAGAATATTTCAATCACATACATGCTGAGCAAAGCTCTCTTTTGATCAAGCCATTTCATTTTCATCTGTTTATACATTCATTGCAGTAAGATTGATGTCATTACTGTACATTTATAGCTAACTTATTTTCTCAGTTCCCACTTCCTACCTTCTATCTACAATATTCTCATGTTTCTTCATCTATATTCAAAGACTTTTTTAATGTAACAAGCTATTATGCATAGTGGAGCAGCCACTGATTGTTTGCCGTCTTAATTCAAACATTTTTTATCTTTTCTCACGCAAGCAGGGTAATTATGTTACTGCGATCAAAAGGTAAGTCATATTCATACAGAACCACTGATTCAATTTAGCTTTGCAAACTGAAGACGTGAGTTGACAGATGAAATCACCACTGCACCGTGTAAACCTGACGTGGAAGTTTATGCTAATGTGATGGGTAGAGCTCTCCCCTCCCCCCCCTGCCTGTTTGGCCACACCACCTTAATTGGTGATGCCTAACAGGTGTGACCAGGTGCTCTTTAAATGGGAGCTTTTGCCCCACTAGAGCTAGAGGGGGGCTTGCTGTAGGTCTCCCACGGCATAGGCACAGCACTCGCCACGTGCGGATGGGTTTGAGCGGAATCTAGAGGAAATGATCAGGTGGTGCAACGCTGAGCCTGGTCACTGCTGTTTTTGCCTTTGATTTAAAATAGATTATGGTTACCCGGTTTATATAGTATCTTTGATTATGAATTGCGAATTTGTTTTCTTTCTGGGTTAGTGTCTTTTTTGTCCTACATGAACAACCATTACTGCGCCCTATACTGGGGGTCCCTTTAATGCCAGTGCAGGTGGGCATATAGTAGGCCTACAGGGGGTGGCTCACGAGGTGGAAGGCCCTTTCGGTTTATTTTGTTTGTTTGCTGTGTTTTAATTCCTTTTGATTTGCTGTGTTTTCTTCCCTTTGACCTGGTGGTGGCCCCCTTGTCCCCTTTCACTCCCCCGCCCCGGTGGGCCTCAAGTAGTCTCCTTATACTGGTAGGGTACCCCAGTATAGTAATCTTTTTTTAAAGCATAGATTATATCTTGCCATAAAACCGACCAATGTTTCTGGATTGATTATTCCTTTTCTTTTAAATATTAAACCTACTTGTAAATAAAAAAAACATTGTTACAAAACTGGAACTTCACCTCTCTGCTCCCCTTTCTTTTTCATTACAACTGATATACTTTGGGTGAGAGCCCCAAAGTGACGTTGTCACCCTTGTGACCAGGCGAACGGCCGCCCCGGTTACACTAAGAATCATTCCTTAAAAAAAAAGACTTTCTCACTAAGAAAACTATTTTTTATGGTTTGACTGTTTAAAACGTGTTGCTTCTTTACTTGTGAGACTGTTCTTCGTTTTAGACTAGAATCCTAATTTATAAACAAGGATTGCATTTATCATTGGATTTATGGTAACACACACAAACCCTTTGGATTAACAAATGAGCAAATCCAGTGCATTAAAAATGACACAGTAATATGAGACGATAGCACTGAATCCAAACAAAAGACATCAGTGGTTAACTAGAGGCAGTATTACTTTACTTAAAATGAGTACTTCACAAACTGCTAAAATATTGCAGAGGCCTCACAGGACCTACAAATATAACATATTTACAAAGTCTTTGAAGGATTGATTTCAAACACTTCATGTGAATTGTTTGAGGTTTCAGGTGGGAGGTTGGATAGTAGAACCTGCATGTAATGATTCACAACGGTTATTTTTAAATAAAGATAGAAATGTACACAGAGAGTGCAATGTAATCTGTAGTGCCCAAAAACTATTTGTAGAAATGTTTAGAGATTAGATTTATCTTTCTCATTAGGGCCGCGTCCACCTCCATGTTGCAAAGGGTTATTATCCAGTGAAAAAAGGACATGGCTGTTTCACATTAAATATGCTCCTGCGGTTCCCATGAGGGCTGACAAGGTCATAACGAGATTCACCAGGAAAACCTGCGAAAAGAGTAAGTATATCAGGAACTTCCCCCCACAGTACAGGAACAGTTACCAGTTACAAGGTTGTGTGATTAAAAAATAAAGGTCCACCCACTCTCCACAGCTTTTCTCATCAAACTCGTCGAATGTGTACAAATGTATTTCTCTTCACAGGAGGTCACATGAAAGGAAATCAAGAGTTCTGCCAGAAAAATTAGAACTATTATTCTTCAAGTGAGGATGTCATAGTTTTAACAAAACGTAACTGATTTGGATCATCTTTTTTGACAGTCAAAATGAGCACTTGTCGTATTGCTGGTAATGTGCTTTGTTCCGTGTGACAAGTCTCGCAAACACTCAGTCACTTTTTACCCCATTTTTGAAAGCTGTGATTACAAATTGAATCATGCCTCAGCCACAGCGCTTGTATCTGGAACATTACAGCACCACCCAATGTTTGTGCTATATATAGTGTCAATATAATATGGAATTTGTCTCTGCCGCTCTGTTTGTCACAATGACTATTGAGGGCAAATGAGCTGCAAGTGCCCTGTGATATCTCTCCTGTTATCTTGTTTGTGCAGTCTGTGGGGAGTTTTTTGGCAGAATTGGGCTATTCTTGTGTGCGCTGTTCACCTCTCTAATGAAACCCATGCAAAAGTTATTTTAGGTTTAGTTATTATGCCTTTAGGAGATTCAAGTGGAACAGAAATCACAACTAAAAAGCTTCTGCAAGCATTCAACTGTAGTCATTCGTGATCTAGGTCAGCCCAAATACCTTCTCACAATCTTTATGAGGTGATGAAACGATGCATTAACAACAGCCTAATTAAGTCAAAAGAGACATGGAGTTCTTAGACTCGTTGGATGTAAACTTTGCTCAAAGTCGGGAGGTTGTTTGCTGCAGCTGAAGCAGTTGGTAAGCAAAGTCTTCCCTAACTGAGAATCAAACCGTGGCCACAGCAGTGAGGGCTCCAAATGATATGCACTCGTCCATCAGTGACCTATGAAGACAATATAAGACATGTACGAAGACAAAATGGGACAGATTATGACTGTAATAGAACTGTCCTCACATTGTCGTAGATTAACTTTTGCATTTTGCGTCTGTAACAAACAGCCACGTTGTGCAAATCTTAAGCTTTAAACTTTAAATCCACTGTATTCTTTTGTCTTGTGTGGTTAAGCGCCCAGCGGGACCGCTCTTGCAGAATACCGAGGAAGGTTAATGGGAAGACTTCCAAATGATTAGCAAGGGGAATGAGACAACGGTTTTAACTTAATTAAAACAGTTTCCTTAACAGCCATTCTCAATTCTGAGAAATTGTGTGGGGTTTTGGGTTTTTTTTGCTTTCTCTTAGCAGAACAGTGTATATGAGATCTCTGGAGACAAGGTCCTTCTCACTCCGTGGTGTAACTGTTCAATGGAGGTGACAACAGCGCTGCAGTCGAGCTTATGAAAGCTACATGAGCCACATGAGCTTCCAGTCAATGTCAAACAGGAGCGTGAGATCTTTAGAGGCTGTGAGAGTCACTTCTTTAACAAATTGCAGAAGCCTGAGCGGAGAAATTGTCCCACTACTCGGTACTTAATTCTTAAAGCTCCGACAAGACAGTGAGAGCTTCAGACTGGGGGCAAATAGATTAGTGTGCACTTCCTAAAGTCAGCTGTTCATGCTGTCTGAGCTTTAAACGTCACCTACCTTAACCTAAGTTTGTATTTGTATTAACCTTTTCTCTTATAACATCAATCTAACATGAACTGTATAATGTTACAGATCATGTTAATGAACAGATAATCATATAGTTTTTATGTATTTTGCAAAAATAATGTTTTTTAAATACACATTTCCCCTGCATAAACAACTTGATGTATTTACTTCTACATCCAATTTAATCAGAGGGAATATTGAGGGCATTGTATCATTATTTTCTTGTGTCCCAACAGAAAAGCCTCTTTCTGTCACTCTGAGGAGAAAACTGCTGTCAATGCCACACACGCTGTTCCACTGCTGCCACTACTGACTTCTGAGTATTGGATTTTTAGTATGTATTTTTTTGTATTTCTTTTTGGAATAAATTATGGCAGCTCTTATATTTTGTTGACCCTGTAAGGCTTCAATGTTTTAAAATGACTTCTTTGTCTAGTAGTTCAAACATTCATGCTCTGTGGACCCAATTAGAATCAAATAATACAAATAAGAT